ACGGTGTAAAAGTTTCAACATTGTAGGTGATACCGATATTCTGTATCGGAAATTTAAGCCTAAACTTTATCAGTGTAAAGTTTTACATTGTAGGTGATACCGATATTCTGTATCGGGAATTTAAGCCTAAACTTTATCAGTGTAAAGTTTCACATTGTAGGTGATACCGATATTCTGTATCGGGAATTTAAGCCTAAACTATATCGGTGGAAAGTTTTACATTTTATGTGATACCGATATTCTGTATCGGGAATTTAAGCCTAAACTTTATCGGTGTAAAGTTTCACATTTTAGATGATACCGATATTCAGTATCGGGAATTTAAGCCTAAACTTTATCAGTGTAAAGTTTCACATTGTAGGTGATACCGATATTCTGTATCGGGAATTTAAGCCTAAACTATATCGGTGGAAAGTTTTACATTTTATGTGATACCGATATTCTGTATCGGGAATTTAAGCCTAAACTTTATCGTTGTAAAGTTTCACATTTTAGATGATACCGATATTCTGTATCGGGAATTTAAGCCTAAACTTTATCAGTGTATTTGAAACGAATGGACATTAATTTTTTTTTTTTTTGTCAAATGATCAATACGATGATTTAAAAATAATTTGTATACTGGGAAAAGCAGCAATGTTTAGGATCCACCCATCCACCCACCCACCCTTTTTTTTAAGTACATTAGTAGTTAAGTAATTTTATTATACACCTTAAGTTCCAATATTTTCTTACTGGTTTGTTTGGTTGTTCTAGGAGCAAAGCCATATTAGGCCATCTACACTCTGGCTACCACGAGAAATCGAACCCTGAATTTTAGCGTTGTAAATCATAGGGGGACCTCGCACACTGCAAACTTGAAAAGGAAATAGAAATATTCATTTTGACCTGTGAAATTTTTCTCACAATTATTAATTCCTAATTTGAAGGCTCTGTAAACTCACAGAGGAAGGGAGAAAAAGAAGAGAACAGTGAGCTGAAGAAACTTTATCTAGTCATCTGTTTATCCGTGTTGACTATAGTAGTTAAAGTGTCGGGCTGCGTATCGTAAGGTCCAAGGCTCTAGCAGTGTTAAGTTAATGTCGGCATAAGTGCTGTCGAGGTTGAAAATACTAAAGTTTTTCTCCGATAGCTCACGCCCCCCCCCCCACAAAGTGGCACGGCAGTATGTTTGCAGACTTATAACGCTAGAATCAGGGTTTCGATACCCATGGTGAGCAGAGCACAGATAGCCAATTGTGTTGCTTTGTGCTTAACTTCAAAACAAACCGACAGCTGATGTAACCGTTCAACATATGAAAGGGATACAGGGATATCCGAGGGTTAGATAGGGAAAGGGTTAGATTCAAATGCCGACACACACACACAGTCCCCTGTGTCCTAAGTGTAAGTTCCAGGTCTAGTGACAATCGGCCCACTAATTCGCCAAATATAAGCGAACACACACACAAACAGAGAATTTTGTCAAATAATGGTTTAGATTACGTCTCCTTTTCTTTCTCTGTGTTTCTATCAATTGATTTTATTCCTTACTTTTCTATCGATCCTTTGATCTCTTTCTCTCTCTCTGTTTGTAAGTCAACACATCAATAGAACCGAGCCCTAAAAGTTTTTTTTAAATAATTTTCCAACCTTCTTGTGCCCATGTTTATGTGTTTGTGTGTGTGTGTGTGTATGAGTAGACCTGGCCTTATCACTCCACCCAACACAACAAGAATACAGCAGCCACTCAGAGAAAAGCACAGAAACCGTTCAGCGGAAATCCACTAGAGGGCTACATGAGGTCCGTGTTGAACCAACAGCATTTTCCGCTGGAACGACGTTCAATGGGAGGGTTGTCAGAAGTTGATTGACACACGTCGCTATTGAAAATTTCAAACAGGAGCCCTGCATCTAGTTTAATATGA